TACATCGTCACATATAATGAAATAATTATACAACTCACCATGGCTTGGGGACCTCTGCACGACAGTGGCAACTCCACCATGGCAGGATCTTTGTTTTGTTCACGGCTGTGTCCTCGGAGCCTACCACAGTGCCTGGCGCCTAGTGGGTCCTTAATAATTTGTCGAACGAGTAAATGGTGTTGCGGGAACAGGACCTCTGATATGGCCATGAATGAGCTTAACTGGGCCTGTGTATGTAGCTTGATGCGTTGGTGGCATGTCTCTCTGTCCCTCTGTCTGTCTCACGTCTCTTTGTCTGTCTGTGTGGCGCCGTGTGTCTGCATGCCTGGCATGTGCCAGGAGCCAGGGTGCAGTTGTTCTGTGTGTGACAACAGACATCTACTCTCTCTCTCTCTCTAGGTGTGGCTCTGTCTCTGCAAGCGTGGGCTTGTGAACACGATTGCGTGTGTGCGGAGACTCTGGGTGTGTGTCCAGGCACAACCAGGTGTGTGTGAACACGTGCATGCCCTGCTACTCAGCCAGCACGTCTGAATCCGGATGAGGGTGTAGGGATTTGTACAGTGGGGCTCTGGGACGTACCCTGCAGCTGTGACTGGGGGGTGACAACATGAGGGTCTGATGCTGCGGGCCCTTGGTCGGGGTGTGGAATTGCGTGTACCTCTGTCCGTGCTGTGCATGTGTGAAATCCCCTCCCAGACATCTCTGTGTAAAGCCACAGGCGGCCCCCACACTGGCCACCCGCCCCGCCCCCAGCTCGGAACACTGGGTGTCAGTAATTGCCCGGGAAGCACAAAGCACTGAGATTAATTATGGCTGCTGAATATGCAAATCAGCTGGGGGTTTTCCCAGCAGCCGTCTGGGTGGCTGCGATGTTACTAAATAAACACAAGCAGCTTCAACGGGGCCCAGAATTGCCTTCTTACACCTTTGTCAATTAACCTTTAATTTACAGGGTCGAGTTTCTCATTCATTAACGAGCTTTGGGCTAATTGAAGAGTCCTCGTAAGACTCTACATTAATTGTCCCTCCCCTCCAAAAATGCCTGCACCAGGATGAGATGGGAGTTGCAAAACCAAGACAGGCTGGCCTGCATTCAAACCCAGGGCTGTGTGTCGTGGGTAGTCACTTCCCCTCTCTGAGCCTCAGTTTTCTTCCTGCCTCATCTGTAAAATGGGAATGGGAGACCGGGCATGGTGGCTCACACCTGTAATCCTAGCACCCTGGGAGGCTGAGGCAGGAGGATCAGTTGAGGTCTGGGGTTCAAGACCAGCTTGAGCAAGAGCAAAACCCCATCTCTACTAAAAATAGAAAAATTAGCCAGGTGTGGTGATGTGTGCCTGTAGTCCCAGCTACTCAGGAGGCTGAGGCAAGAGGATCGCTTGAGCCCAGGAATTTGAGACTGCTGTGAGCTATGACGATGGCACTGCACTCTAGCCCAGGCGACAGAGCAAGACTCTGCCTCAAAAAAAAAAAAAAATCGCAGTGGCTTGCAACAATCAAGTTATTTCTTGGTCATATCACCATCTGATGGGTGTCTCCTCCAAACAGTGACTCAGG